GGGGGGGGGAGGTGGGGTTGCTGCAGGGCCCCGGTGGCTGAGCTGCTTCCCTCAGCAGGGGGAAACCCGGCTTTCTAGAGACCCTGGCTTCTGGGTGGGGAGGGTACAGGGTGGGGGCCGGAGTGGGGGCCTTGAGGGTAGGATGTTTCTTGTCCTGTTGGAAAGAAGGCCTTGGGCTGTGGGGTAGGAGGGCAGAGGCTGCTAGTCGTCTCAGCCTCTTGGAGCAGTCTGCAGTCTGTAAAGGTCACCAGGGATGGCGGCCTCCTGGTGCTTCACGCCCTGCACCCCATCCCCTCCTCTCACCAAGAGCCCCTCAGCCCTCCCACCTCTTGATGACCCTGGCTGGGTATCCAGGGGTCTGGGATGGAAGGGTCCACAGAGATCATCCAGCCTGAGACACCTACAGATTCCCAAAGACTCAGCTTTACAGCAGCTCCACCCAGCCCTGGGGGTGGGGCTCAGACCACATTTCTTGAAGTCTCACCAACCTGGGGCCCCATCGGGTGAGTCACAGCTTCCTCTGACCTCCGTGGCCTCATCTGTGAATTGGACATACTGGATAATAATAGTTCTTTCCAGGGTGGATAACAGAGTCACAGAGGGTAAGCATGTAAAGGGTCCCACACAACCTCCAGTGCCTGCTTGGGCCTCAGCTAATAAGCCTTCCCTTTTTCTAACGTGTGCATCTTTACAACCAGAAGGGACAGTAGCCTTTCACCAGCTCTACCCTTCTGGCTGCCAAGCTGAAGCTGGAGCTGGCCTCCTGCCCACCCAGCCTGAGAAGGGACATCTCCCCGCCCAGGTCCTGCATGCGCCCCGTGGCTTGGGTCTGTGTGCAGCCCGCATGCCGGGGAGGGCACGGAGCCAAAAGGAATCTCATTGTGTTTCCTACCCACATGCTTTATTCCCTCTAGCCTACAGCCTTTGTACCCGCTGCCTGCTTGCCAGTCCTCTGGTGGCTGGGCTCCAGGCTCACACAAGGCTGGGAACCCTGCCAGTGACCCTTCCCGGCCTCCCCCACGCAGGGTCTCTGGAGGGCAGAGATTATGGGCTCCACCCAAAACTGGCCGTTACTCATTCTCTTTCACAGGGTTTTGGAATGTCCGAGCTGGAAGGGCCCTGGGAGTTCAGCCAGCCCAACCCCTCGATGCACAGACAGGAGACAGGCCCACAAGGGCTTTAATCTCTTCTGGGCCTAGCAGCACCTTGGGCAAACCCTGGCCTAGAACTCAGGGCACCTGAGGCCCATCCAGCTGCCATCTCAGGCAGTCACAGACTAGGCCTGGAGGGGCCAAAGAGATCAGTTGACACAGAACCCCTGCCCCACTTTACAGAGGGACAGTTGTCCTGAGCAGCAGCTCAGGCCATTCAGAAGAGCAGGGTGGTTCTAAGGCCAGCCTCTTAGAACGATCCCCAACAACCTAGTGCCTGACCCTATGCGAAGTGCCATGAGAGACGTTCCAGGGAGGGTTAGGCATTTCTAACTTCACTAGGAGGCTTAGGGTCTTATTAGCCCTACTTTATAAGTCAGAAAACTGAAGCTCAGGGAGGTCGAGGCACTTGACTAAAGACACACAGCTAGCAAGGCATACAATAGTTGTAACCTTGGTCTGTTGGATGCTCAAATCCTATTTGTTAGGGGAGGCAGTGTGGAAAGAAGTAGAAAGTATCATCCTGGCACATCCTTGAAAACTTAGCGTCTTCCTGAGGAAAGAAAACGAGGTACTTGAAGTAATAAACAAGGGCTTAGTGATGTGTGAGAGCACCAGGAGGACGTGCACCGACCCTGGCAGTGGGTGGACCTCGACTGGCCTTCCAGTGAACGGTCAGAGGTGACCTGAGCTTGGCACTTTCATATCAGGCTGTTCTGATGCCACCACCCCTCTCTTATGTGTCCTGCCAACCTAACCCTGGTTGGAGCAGAGAGAAGCCCACATCATAAATGTCCAGATAATGTATTCACATAGCTGAACACGCATGTAACCAGCACCCAGAGAATACGAGAAACAGAATACGACCAGCACTTGGATGCTTCTCCCTGGGCACCCTTCCAGTCCTGCTCTCTGGTAGACTTGTCTTTGACCACTGGGGCGATCGATCTGGGGTCAGTGTACGGAAAAAGGTTTTTGAAGTTCTGGCCTCCGACTTGCTAGGCAAATGACCTTACACAGGTCACATCCCCTTCCTGGATTGCACTGGGTGGGATTTGCATGTAGGAGCCTTGGTGATCTTGGTGGAAAGTTATCAGGAAGCCTGTGGAAGTGTCAACAAATCAGAGAAGGGCCCTGAGAAAGAAAAGAAGGGTGTGGTTACTGAGGAGAAGCCGACCCATTTCACAGATGTTGTCCCCGCAGAGAGGAAATGGGGGGGCTTACTTCAAATGTGGATTTTGTGACTCGGCACTGTCCCCTGCCCCCCACCCCTCAGCAGAGCAGGTGAGGGTGCCAGGCCCCTGCTGCAAGCAGAACGGTTGACCTGGCAGCGTCCAGGATGCCCGCGGAATGGTGCGCACACGCGCGCACGCCGGCGTTCCACACCCCCGCACCCCCTCCCTCACCACCATCTCTCCTTCACAGTGGAGGAAGCACTGGTTTGTGCTGACTGATTCGAGCCTCAAGTACTACAGGGACTCCACCGCTGAGGAGGTGAGACGATGAGATGGGAGGGCTCTCTCCCCCATCAGGTGCCGGGGGACACCTGGAAGGGGCTTGGGGGTCCCGGTAGGGTCACTGGAGTCCAGGGACCATCGTGGGCCCTCCTGCTGCAGGCAGATGAGCTGGACGGTGAGATTGATCTGCGCTGCTGCACGGACGTCACCGAGTATGCGGTGCAGCGCAACTATGGCTTCCAGATCCACGTGAGCCTGCGGGCGGCTGGGGGCGGCATGCCTGGAGGGCCCCCCAGAGGAGGTGTCGGGGTGGGGCGTGGCCCACCAGACTGGCTCCTAGCACTCATTTACCTGGAGATCCTGTCCTCAGAGCCGGTCAGAAGCCCTGCTGCCAGCGCTGAGCATTTCTGGGGCGATGCTGGATATCATTGGCAGGGCTATTCAGATGTTGGAGAGATCTTGGAGTTGATGGGGCTCTCCTGAGGCTAGTGGAGGGAAGGTTTTGCATGCTCTGCTCACCTCCAGGCTTAAGACCTTAGATACCCACCTGGGAGGGAAGGGCACCTCTTTGGAGTCCATAGTGGGGAGGGAGCAAGGGGGCTGGCCAGGTGGCAACCTACTTGTGGGGTGGACTTACAGACCAAAGATGCTGTCTATACCTTGTCGGCCATGACCTCGGGCATCCGGAGGAACTGGATCGAGGCTCTGAGGAAGACTGTGCGTCCAACCTCAGCCCCAGATGTCACCAAGTACGTGCTGGGCTGGACCGGGGCCTGGGGGGAGGCACTTACCCCCGCATCCTGAGTGGGTTTCTGGCACTCACCTGAGGGCCCTGTGGCTCTATTTGCTGGGCCTCAGTTTCTCCACCAACAAAATAGGGAGAGGGAGAGGGCAGGGGGTATCCGTGGCCCTCATCCAGAAATACGTTGAGGATTTGAGGTTTGCGTCTTCTCCCTCTCTATCTCCCCACATCCTGAAAAGGTGGGGAGAGGCCTTGGCTCTTTGGAGAAGATGCCAGTGAGTCACAGCCCCATGAGGTGGCTGATTGACTCTGTGCCACAGGGGCTGTGTCTGAGCCTGTGTCAGGGAGAGGGGATGGCTACTTAGTCTGGGTGGGGAGCTCACTCCCTGTGGAGTTCACTGTGGGTAGAGGGGCGGTAGGACCGAGTGACCTGGTGGTAGAGCCCCACACAGGATAAACCCCAGATGCCTGTAGGGGCTGGGACTCTGGCTGCTGGACAGTAGCAACGGAAGCGTGGTATCGAGGGGTGCTGGGTGCGCGTCCACCTGCCTGGCCACACCCTGGCTGGTCAACCTGAGGCCAGTTGCCGTCTGGCCTGAGTTTCATGTTCCTCACCTGTCACACCGAGGTGTGTCATGCGAGGACGTGCATGGAGGCCCCTTGTAAACTCTCAGCTACTGTGCAGCTGGACTGTGATTTAGTATATAGGCTCCGCTGCTACAACAAAGAAACCCCAAACACGGGTTTAAACAAGGGACAGGTTTCTTTCTTGCTCCACAGCAGCCCACAGCCTTGCCTCTGCGCCAGAGCACTGTTCACATTCTCATGGGTCCCAGCCAGGAGCCAGGCCAGGGCACACCTGGTCCTTCAAAACGTGCCACCTCTCTTATGCACTGGGCAGGGTGGAGTCACACGGCCACGTGTAGCCGCAAGGGATGCTTTAGTTTTTGGCCGGGTAAGCACGTACTCAGTATTGCTATGGAAGAAGAGGGGAACTGCCTCGGTCGTTACGGGTCTCCACAGTTTGTGCTCTGTGCACCCACCCAGAGGCCACCGTTCATCTCACCATCAGTGACTCTGGGCATCTCCCCTATTCCACTGTGAGCCTCTTGAACCTAGGGCCTTGTCAAACAGCACACCCTTAATACTAATGCTTCGATCACATTCTCAAAGGGCCTCCTGGTCGCTTTGCACACGTTTGCTCACCTAGTCCCTCCTGTGAGTGGTACTGTTGTCCCATATCACAGATGAGGTAACTGAGGCTCAGAGAGAGAGGCCAGGTACCCTGGACCCTCTGCCGGTAAGTGGCAGAGCTGGGATGGTTCCCAGGGTCTGTTAATGATGAAGCTGTAGCTCTAAGCTGCTTCCTCCACTGGGGTCTGTCCCCTGGCCCCGGGGCACGGGCAGCACTGCAGAAGTGCTTGTTTTGGGACCAAGAGGGCAAGGTCTCACCTGATGTGGCTCTGCTGGCCCCCTAGGCTCTCAGACTGCAATAAGGAGAACACGCTGCACAGCTACGGCACCCCGAAGGGCTCCCTGAAGGCGGGGGAGCAGCGGGCAGGCTCTGAGGTCATCGGCCGGGGCGGCCCCCGGAAGGCGGACGGGCAGCGACAGTCACTGGACTACGTGGAGCTCTCCCCGCTGACTCAGGGCTCCCCGCAGCGGGCCCGCACCCCGGCCCGCGCTCTCGACCGCCCGGCCAAGCAGGAGGAGCTGGAGCGGGACCTGGCCCAGCGTTCCGAGGAGCGACGCAAGTGGTTCCAGGCCACGGATAGCAGGGCCACGGAGACACCGGCCAGTGAGGGTCCGCGCCGGGGCCTGGGCGCCCCCTTGACTGAGGACCAGCAGAACCGGCTCAGTGAGGAGATCGAGAAGAAGTGGCAGGAGCTGGAGAAGTTGCCCCTGCGGGAGAACAAGCGGGTACCTCTCACCGCCCTGCTCAACCAAAGCCGCGGGGAGCGCCGGGGGGCCCCAAGCGACAGCCACGAGGCACTGGAGAGGGAGGTAGGCGGCACTGGCCTCTGGGAGCCTCCTCACCCTACCAACACCCTTCCTATCCCTGCAGTCATTCTGTGGCATTCATCTTGCGTACCTACAGTGATGGGGAGCTCACCCCTGAGCCACTGACACATCTGAGTTCTGTCCTCAGCAGTCACATAGAAGGGAAGAGGAAGAGAAGGGAGAGATCATTTATTGAGTACCTTCTGCATCCCAAGCCTTGTGCTAGGCCCTCTTTACCTACATTGGCTCATGTAATCCTCACAGCAGTCTCATGGTCCCATAGGGTAGACCTCATCACTGTTTCACTGATGGGAAACTGAGGCCCCAAGGCATTTCTCCCCACCTACATAACGTGGGGGTGACCGCGGTGTCCTGCTCCCAGCCCTGTCGAGCCTACTCTGGGCCAGCACTCTCCTGGGTTTCTGACCTGGCCATCCAGCAAACACCTAGAATGTCCCCCTTGCCTGCATCTCCACACGAGGGCCACTTCCTCCCATCAGCTCCATCCCCACTTTCAGGCCCTCACTGACCTCGCCTTCCCGCCCACCCCCCCAATAGGTCCAGTCCCTTCGTGCCCAGCTGGAGGCCTGGCGTCTCCAAGGGGAGGCTCGGCGTCTCCAAGGGGAGGCTCCTCAAGGTGCACCCAAGTCCCAGGAGGACGACCACATCCCCCCAGGCTACATCTCACAGGTAAGGCCAAGAAGCTGTTGTGTTGGGGGTGGGGGCAGGTTTCTGGTTGCCACGTTGTGAGAAAACGGCTAATATTCTGGGAGCCCTTCCTGTGTACCGGAACCCGTGTGAGGCGTTTGACATTCATCATCTCATTTAATCTCCCCAGCGGGTGGACGTGAGCACTGTGCCCATTTTTACAGACAAGGCCACTGAGCTATGAGAGGTTATGTGACTTGCCTGAGGTCAACCTGCCTGCAGATGTCAGAGGTGGGATTTGAGCTCGGGTCAGGCTGACTGCAGAGCCTGTGTGTGAGCCCCCACGTGATCCTCTGTACTTAGACCCCTTCCCCTGCACGTCTGGGGAAGAGGGGGCCTGGTGGAGAGTGGGATTCCTAACGGGCAGGCCCCTGGAAGTCGCTCCCTAAACACAGGGAAATCCTGCCCATGCCTGCCAGGCCGAGGCCCTGCGCAAGGCGGTCTGCGGGACGTGGGCGCCTCCAGTGGCCCTCGGGAGACGCACGGTCTGCCTAGGACAGCGGCTCTCAACCAAGCTGATTTTGTTCCCCTGGGGATATTTGGCCGTGTCCGGAGACACTTTTGATTGTTATGCCTGGGACAATTAGCTCTCCAGAAAAAATACATGTGTGTGTACACACTGACACACTTGTATATGTTTATTGTAAATTTCACTGATATAAAGGATGTTTAGTGTGCAACTTACAAATAAAAAATATGTAATGTTTTTTATTGTGAATTCCATATAGCAAATTGATTTTTCTCAGAATACTTTCATTGATTTTTTCCGAATGCTCGTATCCACAGCTAGCCGACAAACGAGTGTCATTCCAACACGAATGTCGTTTGGCATTTTTGTTTGTGTGAATGAGTAAGACAGCAAGACAAATGTTGAAACTTTACTTGGTCAATGTCATAGCAACTTCTTTGCTGAATTAGAGGGTAGTTTTCTGTTGAGACTATTTGAGAATATTCTTTTAAGAATATTTCTCAGATTTTTCTTCTGTGTACAACGTGATGGTCATAGATAGGGCACGCCGATTTGAAGCATAATCTGTACTGTGAGCATTATTAGCTTTTTCTCATCTCTTGCTTAAATCTGGGCAATCAACAAAACAATAAATCAAGCCCTGATTTGTAACGTTTACCAATCTCCATGGTGTAAATACTCCCGCTATGGCTGATGTCCCTGAACACAGAGTTGGGAAGCCATGTGCCCGCCTTCATAATGACATTTGCACCCTATAGATACAGGAGACGTAAATAACCTCAAAGCATAGCTACTAATAAAATGCAGTGAAATAATTAGGAAGTGATGAATTTTGAGTATCAGCTTTGTTTTTAATGTAACAATTAATTATAAGTTTATATAATTTCTAATAATGGCTATGCTAAATAACCGTGCCACAGAATTCCTAAAAATTTGACAGTCGGCTGCCCCCAGCCAGCACGCCCTTGACTGAAGCAAAAAAGAATGCTGGGATCCCAGGCTCTGGGCAGGGGGACCTTCTAGAAGTTCTGAGGGGGTGTGGGGCTCTCAGGAAGTCTTCCTGGAGCTGTGGGTGGGAGCATGGGCTGCATCAGGAGGTGGAGGGCCAGTGGGTGCCTATCGTGGAGACCCCCACTGCCAAGCTAAGGAGCTGGGATCGCATCCCACACATCTGAGGAGGTTTGGGGTCTGACAGTGACATCGGGAAGGTGGGGTTGGAGTGCAGGGGGCTTGGGAGGGGGTAAGGCCAGCATCAGGAGCTAGGACGATGCCGAAGGAGAGAGGGATGTAGGAGGGCATGTGGAGGGAGGTGAGCTTAAGGCTGGGCCACTGTCCCGAGGAAGGCAGAGGGGAGCGGCTGGGAGCTGGGGCCACCATGCAAAGCCAAGGGCCGTCTGGGGCTGAGTGGTTGATGGAACGTTCAGCTGAAGGGAGACCAGGGCCAAGGGGAGTTGGGGTGTGATGTAGAGGCCTAGCTTGGGGATCACCTGACATGGGGAAGGGGGAAAGGGAGGGCCCAGTGTTGTCAGGGCTCCCTTGAGGCCAGAGGAAGGTGGGGCATCTCTAGACAGGGTGAGGTCCAACACCACCACCACCTGAGGCATCTGGGGACCTCAGAGACCCCCACCCAGAGGGCTTCAGACGTTGCTCTGTGGAGGGTCCATTCTGGGTGGGTTCATTCACAGCCCCCAGTACCAGAGCAGCTCCATCCTTGTCCATTTTACTATTAGAACCTGCATTAGATTCCCTTTGGAAGAAGGTTTCTGTTGCTAAAATGAAGTTTGAAAAGCACTGCTCTGACTTCTCAGCTTACAGATGGGGAAACTGAGGCCCAGAGAGGGGGCGAGACCTTCCAGCTGGCAGCAGACCTGTGTCTGCAGTCCAGGCTTCCTGGTCCCCAGGCGCCCACTGGGCACCCCAAGGCTGTCAGCATTTCGTCCTGCGAGGTTGGGACGGGCAGGAGGAATGGGGGGTGAGAAGGGCATAATGGGGAGACAGCCCAAGACGGGGTGGGGGAGGGGCGCCAGAGGAGAGGAGCCGAGCCATCTGCGTCCCCTCGGGTCCCTGAGGAGGCAGCCGGAGAGTCACTGGACCCTGGAGAGGTGACAGCAGGGGAGGGATTCCCCAGCCTGGTATCAGGCCGAGTGGGCACCCCTCTTCCAGCTTGTGGGGCTTGCCACCACAGGACAGCAGCCGGGGGCCTGGCGCTTCACCCCGCGGGGCTTCAGTGCTTACTGCAGTGGGGGCCACGGGTACTTCTTTATCTACTTTGATCCATGTCAGAGGTGGCGGCCAGCACGTTGGGCCCTCGGGAAGGCAGGTCAGAGGGAGCAGCGCCTGGCCTTCTGGGAGCCCCTCCTCGTGGGCTAGTTCCCACCTCCTGACGTCAGCCTCCAGACGCCCTATTGGCTGCCGGGTCTGCCTGCCTGATCTGGCCCTTTAAGAACAGCAGTCCCATCTCCCATAGTGCTCCGGTCTCTGCAGGTCGGCGATCTCTACAGGTGGACGCTGACTTACCTTAGGGACCCTCCTGAGTTGGTCTCATGGGGTCTGTTTTACAGATGAGGAGATTGAGGCTGAGAGAGGGAAAGGAGCTTGCTCGAGTTCGCTCCGTGGTACAGCCAAGACTAGGACCCAGTCTGTGGAATTCCAGAGCCACGTTCTGTTGCCCTTACTGGGGGCACACACAGAGGACAGGCACAGAGGCTCAGTGGGACAGGTGTCGCTTGCCCACCACTCAGAACACCTGGACCCGGGGGGCCTGACCCTTGCTCTTCCCCCAAACTGGCCCGTGCAGCCCCCAGATGTGGCTGCTGGCGAGGTGGGGGTCAGTCCCCACCGGCCGTGAGGTGCCCTGTGGCATGGCGGAGAATGCAGCCTCTTACTGGCCCTCCGTGCCTCAGCTTCTCCCTTGGCTCTTCCCCTTCCCTTTTTAATGATCTTAAACATTTTAAAATTATATAATGAATTTGTTTACATTTTCAAAAATAATTCAAACAAATCAAAATGTTAGAAACAAACATGTGACTCTCCTTCCCCTGCCTGCTCCCAACCCCAGGGAGCCTTGGTTACCATTTGAGCACATCCATAGAGTTTCCTGTTGCAGCCGTAACAAATTACCACTAACATAAGTGACACAAATTTATCATCTCACAGTTTTGTAGGGTGGAAGTCTAACACGGGTCTCGCCGGGCTAAAATCCAGGCATCCACAGGATCGCATTCCCTTCCATAGGCTCTGGGGAGGATCCGTTTCCTCACCTTTTCCAGCGTCTGGCAGCCGCCTGCATTCCTTGGCCCATGGCCCCTTCCTTCACCTTCAGAACCTGCGAAGGAGAGAGAGTCAAGTCCTTCTCACTTCCCACTGAGCTCCTTCCACAGTCCCTTCTGCCTCTCCCTCTGCTCCCCTGCCTCCTCTTCCACATCCAAGGACCCTGTGATTACTTTGGGCCCAGAGGATAATCTAAAATAATCTCCCTATTTTCAGGTCAGCTGATTAGCAGCCTCTCTTCCCCCTTGGCCATGTAAGGTAACGTATTCGCAGGTTCTGGGAGTAGGACATAGACATCTTTGGGGCACCATTACTTTCCACAGTCTCTTTCCATACCTTTCTCTGTGTTTTTATGTACATGTACTCAGACCTACAGCTCTAAGTGTCTTGTGTCCGTGACTGGGGTCCCACCATGTGTATTGTCAGAAACCAGCTTTCATCACCTAATTTTGGGGACACTTTCTACAGCAGTCCATGTGGGCAGCTCTGTCTTTTAACAGTTGCCTGGGCCCTCTGTAAAGCTCGATCCCATAATTTATTTAAGGGCTTCCCTGTTAGGTATTTATTTAGATTATTTCCAGTTTTCATCTGTTACCAACCTTGCTGCAGGGAATACCCTTGTCCAAGAGGCTTTGTACGTGTATGGCTTTCTGTGGGGTCATTTCTAGGAGTGGACCTGCTAGGTTAAGGGGTCGTTAAAATTAGATGGTGCCACCAAACTGCCCTCCACGCACCCGGTCGCGGCTGACTCTCCCAGCAGTGGGTATTATCAATCATTTAAAAACTTGCCTGTCTTGTCTACACAGCCCCATTCTGCGGTAAGCCATTAATTTCAGCTGACTTACTCAGCACCTGCCACAAGTCAGGCCGTAGCCCAGACCCTGGGGACTCTGAGCTGGATCAAATCTTCCTTCTTTTGGGGGAATTTATGATCTGGCAGAAGCAGAGCCTTTGGAGGCAGGGGAGAGGCTGCCCATAGTCAGAGCTAGGAGGATCTTTAAGCTGGTCTGCTGGCCAAGTGAATTACCCAGGAAGAGAAAGTTGTAAAAGGATGTTCCCGGCAGTGGGAACATGAGCTAAAGCTCAGAGGTGTGAACATGCCATCAACTGGTTGTGCTTTTTTTTTTTTTTTTTTAATAACTATGGGACTTCTTGGTGGGGGAGGGCCAGGGATGAGACCACCAGGGTCAGAAACTGGAGCAGGGACTTGGCTCTGCGGGATGGGGAGGCTCAGAAGGGTTCGAAGCAGGAGAATGACAGGGTGAGGTTTGTGGATGGCAGGGAGCAGGGGCAGATACAAGCCGATGATGCCAGGGTCTTGGGGGAGGTGGTGAAGCCTGGACCAGGGCAGGCCTGCCTCTGAGGCTTCTTGTCACAGGCTGGGAAAGGGCCACCATCCAGGCAATGGGGGCAGCCCCGTGACTGCCTGGCCTCCCACCTGCAGGAGGCGTGCGAGCGCAGCCTGGCGGAGATGGAGTCTTCGCACCAGCAGGTGATGGAGGAGCTGCAGCGGCACCACGAGCGGGAGCTGCAGCGGCTGCAGCAGGAGAAGGAGTGGCTCCTGGCCGAGGAGACAGCGGCCACAGCCTCAGGTGAGGTCCCTGGGCAGGAGCGGCACAGTGGGGCCCAGCTCCATGAGCCTCCAAACAGAGGCTCCTCCTGACCGGATTCGGGAGGCCTGTAAATAAGAGGTGAGGGCCTGAATGCCAAACTTGGGGTGAGAGGTCAGGAGCCCCTAGATCTGGCCTCTAACCCTGCTTGCAAAGAGGAAACTGAGGCAATAAAAGACCCCAACTCACAGACCATGGGTTGTGACTCCTCTCCCTCAGGGGCCTGCGGCCACTGGGAAGCCCCCCTCAAGCCACACACATGCCCTGAGCTCCAACTCCACGCCCAGGCCCGTGCCGTGTGCTGGGGAGAGACCGCTCAGCCATAGGCCCTGCTCTCATAGGAGTGCCGTCTCACTGGGCATGTGGTCTGGACCCTGGGGAGAGCAGGGAAAGGTGTGAGCATTTACCAAGCCCGTTACCCACGTGAGCAACCTTAGTTCTTGCAGTGCCCGAGAGAGTGAACCCATTTCACAGATGAGGTAACTGGGGCTCAGAGAAGTTAGCGACTTGTCCCAGATGGCATAGCTTGGAGGTGGCAGAAGCTGACGTTGGAGCTCAGAGCATTCTGACCGCAAAGCCATTCTTGAACCCTTCGAACCCTTCCCTCTGCTCTCCCAAGTCAGAAACAGGAATGCCCAAGATGCTGGCCAACTCTCCCTCTCTGTCCTCTGTACACCTGCTGTGTGTTCCTGGCATCCTAGACACTTTCATAGGGTTTGCAGTATAATGAAAATGATGAAAGAGGCCACATGATCTGGAACTTAACCACCTGCCAGTGCTTCAAGCACTCAAGCCCAGGGCCCCTCGTCCCAAACCCTGAGGTCAGTGTGTTTTGCATTTTAGAAAGATAACCTGGTATGTATATTAAATATCCTCTCCCAGCAGGGTCTGGGCTTCACCCTGAAATCTAGCACTAAGGTTTTGGCAAATTTTGGAAATTTCTCAAAGTCACACTTAAGTGGGATAATCATGACCACAAATAGCCCTGTGTCCGTTCAGGTTGGGGATTGCCACCAAAAGAGTTATAAAACACTTTCAGTGTTCAGAGCTTTTGGATTTTGGAATTATGGATAAGACTATGAATGAGGGCTTGTTTTTTTGGTTTGTTTGTTTGTTTGTTTTTGCGGTACGCGGGCCTCTCACTGTTGTGGCCTCTCCTGTTGCGGAGCACAGGCTCCGGATGCACAGGCTCAGCGGCCACGGCTCACGGGGCCAGCCGCTCCGCGGCATGTGGGATCTTCCCAGACTGGGGCAGGAACCCGTGTCCCCTGCATTGGCAGGCGGACTCTCAACCACTGCGCCACCAGGGAAGCCCAGGGCTTGTTTAATCTTCACAACAACCCCGTGTGAGCGTGGAAAGAGACTCCGTTTGGGGGCTCACAGCCTGAAAATAAACCAGTGGGGGCCAGTGTCTGAGTACTGACTCTGTGCCATGCGTTGTCCTGCTTGCCCTACACGTGTCTCCCAACAACCCACGAGAGAAGGTGCTGTTGTCATCCCTGTTTTCCAGATAAGGAATCCGAGGCACAGAGGGGTTAAGGCCCCGCACAAAGTCACACAGGTTTGTACCGACCGCAGAGCCTGCGTTCTTGACCACTAGGCGGGGCCAGCAGATGGACCTTGTTAAAGAACCTTCCAGGCTCTGCAGGGAGGACTGTGTGGGGGCTTACCAAGAAATCACTAGCAACAAGAGGTACCAGTGGTCAGACATTGAGGTGTCTCCCCAGCAGGGTCCATCAGACAGGCACTGTCATCCTCCCTTGATAGACAGGCTCAGAGAGGTTGAGCACCTTACCCAAAGCCGCTCAGTCCATGACACAGCCCGGCCCAGTGCTCTTTGCATTACCACTCTCTGCTCCTGTCTCCATATGGAGTCCCGGAGGAAGTGGAGCTTTTTGCTGCTCACCCCTCCCCAATCTCCCTTCCACCTCTCTGCCCTGCTTCCAGCCATCGAAGCCATGAAGAAGGCATACCAGGAGGAGCTGAGCCGGGAGCTGAGCAAGACACAGAGTCTCCCACAGGGCCCGGATGGCCTCCAGAAACAGCACCAGTAAGATGGCAGTTGGGCCCTGCGGTCTGGGGACAGGGGCTCCCTCTGAGCCAGATGCCCAGCTGTCCACCCCGCTGATTATGAGTGGGGGACCTGTGCTAAGACCCCTGGCAGAGGGCATGTCAGTTTGCCCCCAGCTGAGACGCCTGCTCCGGTCACATGGCACCAGGAACAGAAGCAGCGGGACCTCAGCCAGACCCCCACGCCAGTGCACACGGCAGTTCTCAGGCCCCTTCTTGTCTAGCCAGTCTCAGTCTCCACCCTTCTCTTCCCCTCTTTAGCGTCTCCCTAGAGCTGGGCTACAGTATCAGCCAGTAGGTGCCCCTCTGCCGCGGAATGTTCGGGCTGTGGAGGCTTTAGCGATGGGCTTCTCCGACCCATCCCCTCATAGAGGAGGCGCCCGCAGCCCAGAGAGGCTGTCACCAGTTCACAGCACCACAGCTGGCTGAAGGCAAAACTAGGGCGGGAACAAGGAGCCCTAAGCTGCTTTGAGTCTATGTGACCTGACCCAGCTTGGCAGAGGGCGAGAGAGCCCGGGCCATCCTTCCCCTCCTCTGCCCTGGGCAGGTCAGATCTGGAGGCACTGAAGCGGGAGCTGCAGGTGCTGTCAGAGCAGTACTCGCAGAAGTGCCTGGAGATTGGGGCCCTGACGCGGCAGGCGGAGGAGCGTGAGCACACGCTGCGGCGCTGCCAGCAGGAGGGCCAGGAGCTGCTGCGCCACAACCAGGTGGGCCTGGCCCCGCTGGGGAGGGGGTGGGGCGCGGGCATCCCGGCGCCCCTGCACTGACCATCCCACCCCTCCCAGGAGCTGCACGCCCGCCTGTCCGAGGAGATTGACCGGCTGCGAAGCTTCATCGCCTCGCAGGGCACCGGCAACGGCCGCGGACGCAGCAGCGAGCGGAGCGCCTGTGAGCTGGAGGTGCGCCACCCCTCGTGCCAGGCCACCCAGCTGGTTCTTGGGGCCTGGGTGTGGGGAGTGTATCCAGACAGGTTGGGTCTCCCTGTAGCCGGGAGAGGACGGGGCAGCTAGGAAGGATGCCTGCTGTGCACCCAGCACTGCTGGGCTGACTGGGTGAAAGCCCTCCCGTGGTGGGTCCTGCCACCCACCTGCTGTGTGACCATGGCAAGTCACCTCACCTTTCTGAGCCCCAGTGGCTCATCTATAAAATGGAGCTAGCACCTCCCTTACTGGGAGAAGCCGGAGTGAAAAAGTGTGTATGTGATCCCAGGGCCACCCTAGCCTTTTGTTGTATTTAACAAAAATTTATATACAGCTTTACTCTGTGGCTGGCACTTCTGTAAGCCTTTATATCTGCTAATTCATTGAAGCTTCCTAACAGTCCTATGAGAAAGATGCCATTACTGTTCCCATTTTATAGGTGAGGAAACTGAGACACAGGGAGATCAAGTATCTTGCCCAGGGCCACATGGCTAGTCAGTATGGGAGCTGGGATTTGAACCAGGCAACCTGGCTCCAGAGTCTAAGCTTTTAAGCCTCCTTTGTCCTGGCTGAACCTGTCTCCTCCTTGGTCAGGTCAGGGTAGCAGTACCTGCTCATCAGGGTTTGGGGAGGGCTTAATGAGGAAGCCCAGCCCACTCTGGTTCACCCCAGGGCCACACTATGGCTTCTTTTCGTGCTCTTTGCCCTGAAGTGGAGGGCCTGGTGCTGTGTTGAGGCCATAGCAGAGGTGACCATAAGCTACCCACTCACATTGTATGGACAGGGTGAGAGAGCAAGGAGAAATCGGAGAGGACTTCCTGGAGGAGTCTGCTCCTGGGGACATGGGTCTTGGTGCAGGTTGGGAGCTGCATTCTAGGGGCCTGAGGCAGAGAGAAGCCATGCTTCAGGGGTGCGGTGAGCCAGGGTAGCTCTGGCCTCTGGCCCTGCATCAGCCTGGCACCTGTGACCCCAGGTGCTGCTGCGAGTGAAGGAGAATGAGCTGCAGTACCTGAAGAAGGAGGTGCAGTGCCTCCGGGATGAGCTCCAGATGATGCAGAAGGTGAGTCCCAGCCGGCCAAGGCAGGGCGTCAGCGGGGTGGGGAGCCCCTGGATCCAGCTGTGCCCCATCTTGTGAGCACCTGCTCTGTGCCGGCCACTCCTGGCCTCATCAGGCTCTCCCCGTGCCTCCCCCACGTAGGTGTCACTATTCCCATTTACAGACAATAAACTGAGGCTAAGAAAGGTAAGTGACTTGCTCAAGGCCACATTTGCTTTTATTTAGTCAGAAAATATTTATTGAGCACCCTCTATGTGCCCAGCACTGTGCTGGGTGCTGGGTGACAGCCGTGGACAAGACCAAAACCCCTGCACGTGTGGAACGTGCATTGCAGTGAGGGATAAGCCATGTTGCTGGGAGTTGGGGGACCAGGATTCGGGGCCCAGTCTGGCCCACCCTTGGTGCCATGTCCCTTTGTCTTTTTTTTTCTTTTTTTTTTGCGGTACGCGGGCCTCTCACTGTTGTGGCCTCTCCCACTGCGGAGCACAGGCTCCGGACGTGCAGGCTCAGCGGCCATGGCTCACGGGCCCAGCCGCTCCGTGGCATGTGGGATCTTCCCAGATGGGGGCACAAACCCGTGTCCCCTGCATCGGCAGGCGGACTCGCAACCACTGCGCCACCAGGGAAGCCCATCCCTTTGTCTTTGACACCCGCTGCATGTTGGTGGCTCTGAAGTGTGTGTGAGCCAGACTCATGGAAGGGGCCCAAGCACTGGGCCAGGCTGACCTGGTTCTCCCAGCCACTCACTGCTGTGTGGTCTCGGACAAAAGCTTCACCTCCCTGAGCCTCAGCTCTCATCTTGAATGGGATGAAAATGACGCTGAAACCTGTGTCACTGGGTGGAGCCGGGGGCCATCTAGGGGGGCCACCTGGAGGGCGAGGCCATGGGGGCAGTGGAGGGGCCTGGCTGCTTTGTGCCGGCAGGTGGGCAGGGCCAGGAAGGAGGGCTTCGTGCCCTCACAACCCCTCCCCGTCCCCCAGGACAGGCGCTTCACCTCGGGAAAGTACCAGGACGTGTATGTGGAGCTGAACCACATCAAGACGCGGTCGGAGCGGGAGATCGAACAGCTGAAAGAGCACCTGCGCCTCGCCATGGCTGCCCTGCAGGAGAAGGAGGCCGTGCGCAACAGCCTGGCCGAGTAGAGGTGGGCGCCCCGGGCTGGGCGGGGGTGAGGCCCCGCGGGGCCTGGAGATGTGAGCTGAGGCTCATCCACACCTGACTCCCCCTGCCATCTGGGCCAGGGCACTTCCTTCTCCTAGCCTCCGTATCCCTTTCTGTAAATGGGGACAGTGACACCAGCGACTCGGGGTTGTCGTGGGGACCTGTCAGACTCAGCCAGAGGCTGCTTTGTAAACTTGAGCATATTTCTTCAGAGGTGGGCCAGTGAGTTCAGGGTCTGATTTTCGCCCTGTCCCCGCCATGTGGCAGCGGGTGCTTCTTAACACAGAGCCACAGCCACAGCCCGAGCAGTCCACACCCCTCCTCAGGGCTGGCAGTGCCCTAACTGATCTGCCTGGGCTTGGGTGGCAAATCCGGTGTGGCCACCCCCTCATCAGACCCAGCAGCACAGCGCGCATCACTAATCACCCACAGCGTTCCTTCCTCCGTGCTGCACACCCCGGACATCACTGGAGGCCGTGCTCTGTCCTGCTTCTTCTCACGGTCATCCCCGACTTGGCAGGGTGTGAAACATTTTTATGATGCCTTTTCCTACTGCCCTGTCTACCTGGAGCTTCCTCTTTCTAACACGTCCTTGGGGACTTCCTAAGGCACTCGGGAGAGGCCACCCTGTGGGCCAGGCTTGGGGAAAAGCCCGGAGGAGAGGATCTGGCCCAGCCTTTGGGGCCGAGAGGCATTGGAAGGACCTGCCAGCCACCCTTGCCTGGCCTAAGCCAGACTCCCACACTCTTCTTTTTTTTATTGAAATGTAGTTGATTTACAATGTTGTGTCAGTTTCTGGTGTACAGCAAAGTGATGCAGTTATATACAGAAATACATACATTCTTTTTCATTATATTTTATTACAAGATATTGAATATAGTTCCCTGTGCTATACAGTAGGACCTTGTTGTTTATCTATTTTATATATAGCAGTGTGTATCTGCTGATCCCAAACTCCTAATTTATCCCTCCCCCGACCCCTGCTTTCCACTTTGGTAACCATAAGTTTGTTTTCTGGGTCTCTGTTTCTGTTTTGTAAATAAGTTCATTTGTATCATTTTTTTTTTAAGATTCCACGTATAAATGACATCATAAGATATTTGCCTCTCTCTGTCTGACTTACTCCACTTAGTACGATAATCTCTAGGTCCATCCATGTTGCTGCAAATGGCATTATTTCATTCTTTTTTATGGCTGAGTTATATTCCACTGTATATAT